AAGCAAGAAACGGTTTTTTAACCGAGTAGAAACGGTTTTTTTTTAACCGAGTGAGAAAATGGTTTTTTAATCAAGCAAGAAAATGGTTTTTTTTTTTTTTTTTTTAAGCAAACAAGAAATGGTTTTTTAACCGAGCGAGAAAATGGTTTTTTAACAAAGCAAGAAAATGGTTTTTTAACCAAACAAGAAACGGTTTGTTAATCGAGAGAGAAAATGGTTTTTTAACAAAGAAGAGAGGTTAAAAAAACTTCCCTGAACATATTGGATACCCATATTTGGGAAGAGTCTAGTGTCCTTCATGTTGCACATTTATCAATAGTCTGATGACATGCTTTGCATAAAGTTCAGTGACTTGAGAGCATCTCTAGTTCACTGGGGAAAATTCTCGAATCATTGCAGGAGAGGATAAGCACCATGACCGTTGAATCAAGCTTTTGCTTTTCTCTGCAACTCTCATCTCATTTTCAGATTTGTTAAGAGATTTCAGTTAAATAAAGCAATTATATTAACTGAAATAAAGCATCATAACCAATCAGCTTCCCAATCTAAACAAGGAAAAGAAGGCCAGGGCATGGATAATATGTATGGATAGAAAGAGATAAACATGATTTTGAATTGCACAACTTTTGATGCACCAATTTTAACAAAGCTAGAAGGCATTCAGGCTATAAAGTATTTGCTTCAAGAATTTATTTCTTTTGCAACTCCACCAATCCAGTCTTTAGCATATGAGACAATGTCTACTTCCATGTCAAGGTGGACGAATCGAATCTATCTCCTTCCCATGAACTAACCTTCAATGTTTAGAAGACCAATCATGAACCATCAAGCTAACTGACTTGGACTCACTAGAGAAAGGATTTTTTTCTCTTAATGTTCCTTGACAAAGAAAGTTTCAAACCCTCAAATAAGGACTTTATAAGCTTGTAATGTGGCTTGGGGTTAGGCTACCATGAAAGAAAGGGTAAAGGCTCAAAATCAATTTCTTCATATATTCCCCTCACATTTCTCTCTTCACTACCCCGGTCATTAATGTGGGTTAACAAGAAGAAAATCATCTTGGCTTTTCTGAATTTGGATGATTGCCTTTTTCTAGCACAAAAAGGGTAAGCAAAGGACAATGTTAACTATTTGGGATAGAGAAACAATGCCTTTCATCATTGGATCTTCAACTTTCCAAGTCAAGGAAACAATCAGCTTACTAGGTCACCCTTTTCTTCCCCTTTTTCTTCCCTCTCTTTCTTTCTTTTTTTTTTTTTTTTTTTTTT